TGTACATAGAACTAGCAATAGTTAGAGACACCCAGGGCTCACCCCCTGGCGGCCTTTGCCCTGATCAGGGATAGTGGAAAACGTGCAAGTCACGAGCCACGGCCGTAAAATATACACACACACACACCCCCCAGCAAAGGTGCCAAAGACAACTGATTTCTGCAAGCTCCGTCAGGAAACCAGATATAGACCGGTCCCCTTGGTCTCATGGACAAGTAGGTAAGTCACATCCGATTTTCAAGCTATATAACGTCGTCTTTTTCCCTATCACACACAATTCCTCCATGCTCATTCCTTAGAAGTCATCCAGCAAGTTTGATAACAATGTCCACCGAAAACCGCCCAGAGATCCTCCTTCTTTCCCTTGCATACCTGGACTTTCTCGACGAGGCCTACGCATCACTGCTTGATGACTTAGCCAAGTCCACTCGGCTGAAGCGTGTAAAGACGGCGAACGCGGCACTTCGCTATCTGGAACACAACAATCCCAGCGCCATCATCATCACAGACCAAGGTTTGACTGACTGGCGCCACCATGAAGTACTCCGAAAGGTAGAAACATACGTACGTTATGGCGGCCTTGCTATTATCGGCCTTCATTTTCCCAGCTTTGTGACAATGGACGTCTTCGACAACTTCTTTGCTTTTGGCTTTGGGTTGCCTTGGAAACACGGCGATTATGAGCGCACTGACTTTAAACGCAATCCGTCCGGCGTCCTACCTCATGGTACGAAATCGTCTTCGTTGCCTGGGCCGTTTAGCATGAAGGTCCTCCACGTCAAGGAGGCTCGGCCCCATGAGAAGATCTTCATTCCAGTCACCACATATTCCAAGGATCCACAGGCCGCAGTGACCGCAGCCCGGCTTGGAAGTGGGTATCTAGTTTACTGTGGTGATGTTAATGGGGAAGAAGGTACAAATAGGATTATCTGGTCCCTATGCGGTCTTCAGGTCTAATACTCAGCATTGCCGCAATGGACAACCTGGAAGGCGGACCAGTTTATGCCGTGTCAAGTCAAGAGCGGGATACCTTGAGTCGAGTCTACATGGATATAAGCTGGTGGATCACACTACGTGGTGTTCTTACACAGAGGCTTTTGTTATTATGCCACTAGTTGACTAAACGCACTTACCATCCCGCAAAAGCTGTTAGAATGCGACACACCCGTTCGTTCCTGAAGACGATTGTATTCAACATTCTAAGATCTCTCAAGTTGCCTTCCCCGACTCGGCCTCAGTCAGCAGTCTGACAATAATAACAATATGCAGCAGCTCCCAGGATGAGCTATAATGATCGGGTTGGTCGCGTGCCACTCAATAATCATATTGAGTCTTCATGTTCCGCGCAGTATCAAGACTATATTCTAACAACCGTCTAAATTGACTGACTATTTCCAGGATCAAAGCTTCCATCAATAAGCTGGTAGAAGATATACACTGAAAGATAAATGAGTCGAATTCGCCAAGTCCTGACATCAGTATCAACGAACTTTGACTGAGTCGTCGCATTGACTTTCCATTACGACAACCTGCGGATGTCGAGGGGTATACAAAGCACCACCAGTCGACAAAGTGCCGTTCCATGATTGGATATATTGAATCTAGACCTCTTGATTGCAGCCAGAAAGGCAGCTGTCGAAGGCCAAGGTGGGACCACAGTAAGCATGCTCATCGAACGCATCGACAGAACCCAATTTCAACCATCCATCCCAGGTCCCACTCTGATCCATGCAAAGACACTGAGTACCACACATGCTGCTATGTTCATCATTGGTATGAAGATAATCCTTGATGGCACTGGTGATAATATCATATCGCGCAGTAGTACCACAGATGGGGCTGGAAGAATAGTATGTCCAGTTCAGACCCTCAAAGGTCCCGTGCATGGTGCTGCAATCTCCTCTGTCCAAGCGTCCCCCCATAGTTGTAGCCAAATTTCTGGCAAATGTGTTGACAAACTTGGTACAGTATTGCAGGCCCCAGCAGCTATACCCATTCCGTCACAAATAGTTGTTGAAGGGTGCTTGGCATGTTCGGCTGCTTGATTATCTGTGAGACTACTCCCACCAAGGCTCATTTAAAATGAGTTGTCCGGTTTTTGTTCTCCATTGATGCCAGAGGACTCGCTAGACGCCAGCGATAAAGTCGCGATGCAACAAGTCATTGTGATCAGCACATTCTTTGCAAATAACATAGTTGTTTAGGTCGTCAAACAATATCATGTACAAAAAGGGAGAAAAGGTGGAGTTGCAGCAGTCAATGAAGAAATCTGGTAATGCTTCAACTCTTGATGTGATTAGGATGGAACCATGCTTTTTTGGGTTCTCGCATCTTATATATCGCCTCCTTTGCTTATGGAAAATTCAGGTTCCTACTGTACCCACATGCATGAGTTTTCCAGGTTAGTGATATACTAAGAACTTGCAGGTGGGCCATTGGTTGCGTGATAGTTCCAGTGAGGCTGTGTCCTAGCTTGAGGCCCTATATGTCACACCTATCAGCCGAAGATCTTATTTGGTAGTCAAATAAGGTGACCTCATATTATCAGCAAGGGCTCATTGCCAGCAGTTTGGCTCTCACATCTTTCCATAAGAAATGTAAAAGCATTACACCTATCGCTCAAAAAGTGGTTATTTTGTCCTGTGATTTGATATGCTGCCTGGTGGCGGGTACAGCCGATGGAGTCAACACACTAAAAGTGCGTTTCCTTGGCATAGACGATTGTAGATCAGCTAGCCAATAATGAGTACTGTAGGCAGTGGGCAGTGGGCAGTGCTAGACCAAGTGGGCACATATGGGTAACTGTACTTAACGGCCAAGGCTGAATTCTTAGGTAGCTTGAACTACAAGATCATGAGTACTTTTCATACAAGGCTACTTTCCGTCCTGAGGCAGCCAGCTTATAGCACCAAGCTGGTCAATGGCAAGTCAACATCATTTTATCTGAGATATATGTTCATGTTGCTCTGACTACAAAAGCGCAGTGCAGCTGGAGGAGTGTGAGAAGCAACAGACTAGTTTTCATGGACGGATCCAGGTTTGGATTCCTTCTGGTCGTACCACTGGCAAGTCTCTTATGGAAGAAATCCTTGTGTTGGATAAACTCTTCAAGGTCATGATCTTAATTGTTTAAAATCATGCCAGAAGTGGTCGTTAAGGCACTTTCCAGCTATGCGGTAAGATGGTCGTGCGCTAATGGAAGGGGAATATAGCCATACGAGAGTGTGCTGAGAGACTAAAGTCGACCCGATTTTCTATCAATCAAAATTTGACCGTCAACTGGGTCCCTGGCAGATGAAAAGCCTCGTGAGCTTTGGACCGGCTATTTTATCCCGTTTGAAGCGCCATCTGCAGCCACAGCTGACTCCGCCCCAGCCTCACGTTAGCCAGACAATTATAAGTCGCTGTGTTCCCCGTTGGATTCACATCTTCTTCCACAACCACATCTATGTAGCGATTTTGATGGAATATTGCAATATTTACCTTTTTGTGCTGCTGCTGCAGTCGCTCCCCGTGTCGGCGCAATATGTCGTCTCCTCGACCGCTGCCTGGTCCTCCCAGATCATTGCCTTCTGGGGCGCCATCATCATAGCGGCGCAGGTCGGCAAGGTCGCGAGTGCAGGAACAGCTCTGTTTTCGAGTGCTCGTATGGCTCTTCGAATCCGGTCCATGACCAATGCCCTGGCCCGCGGTAATTGGTTTCTACACGCTGGTTGGGTCACCAACAAAGTCCGCACGGATATCGCCGTGGTGTGCTGGCGCACCCCTGAGGATTTGCAGGGCTTAGTCCGCCGTGTAGCCATGCAAACAGAGACGTTTGCCGCCGGCCGGGACTGGCAGGTTCTCGTGGTGGGATGCCAGCTGAAATACCAACCCTCCCGTGAGAGCACGGTCCACTGGATCAAATGTCCTCGGAGCGAGAATCTCTGCGGCGCAAAGGTCAAAGCAACGAACGAGAATCTGTTTCCCCTGCAGGAAGCGGACATTTCTCACGCGCTCGACATGCTGGAACGGTCGCCGCCGGCGACGTTGGAGGAAATTGTGCGGGAGATGGAGACGAGGCGGGATGCGCGCGCGTCGCGCGTTACGTATCTTAATGAGCAGCAGCAGGAATTGCAGGTTACCCAGGCAGCGCTCTCATGGGGATGGATATTCACCAGCGTGGAGCATAACCTCACGCCTTTCTTGAAGCTGCGGAAGTGGACGAGTCCCTACGGCACTGACCGTGGGGCGCGCATGATCTGCGCCACGCGAATGTATCTCCTTGTACATCTGCTAGTTGCCTGTGCTGTTGGACTCATGGCTGCCGCGACGGGGCGTGGTCTTGCGGTCTGGTTCATGACGGTGCGGCCCACGCTCTCGACAATGGGGGGCAAGAACGTCAACGGGAACGACATCCTGCAGTCGTTGCTGTGCCTCGATGAGGCTGTTTTCCAGTACGAGACGGGAGACAGATCGTCGTTGTTGGCGGGCGACGTTCTAGCTTCTTCCCTCCCATGGTGGGCTACTACATTGGTCTTTGCCATGCCTGCTCTGGAAATGGCCCTTATCATTGCCGGATGGCTGTACGGCGGGCTGAAAGCGGAGAGACTGGCACCATCCGGGGTTGTTGGCCACGGAATGCTCTGGCTGTCAGTCGTCGTCGGGCTTTCGCTGTGTGTTCGTGCCCTCTTCACGCTGCGCAATCAGGGGAAGGGTCGTCTGGTAGGTATTTGGCATAAGCAGCAGTTTGCCCAGTACACAATTGGCGCGGAGTCGCTGGAAATCTCCGCGTCTGATCTCGCTCGTATGGCAGGTGAGCCGTCTCCGATCGGTCTGGTAGTCCGTCTCCTTCGCGACAACAACCCGGATAATATCCCCGTCATTGAAAGCTTCCTCCGATTACCCCTCATGGCGGTGCTGGTGGAGTACCTTCTCGCCACGCGAGTCCTGCAATATCAGTACCAAGGCGACGAGATCGTAGCGAGAGGGAGCAGGGCTATCTCGCCAAAGTCCGAGTCCCCATGGCGCCAGTCCTACTGCTGCGTGGCTGTGACTGTGGCTTGTGCATGTTTGTCGGCCGTTTACGCATACTATCCGCTGCCAAAATGGGTGAAGCTCGTCACGGAGATGCTTCTTGCATTGAGTGCGGTCTGGTTCAACTCGATTGATCTCGTGGGTAGTTTCATGCACGAGAAGGAAACCTCTACCTGCTTTATGATTGCGACTCTGGTTGTGTCATCCGTTTGGTATGTGGGATTGGATAATGTAGGTTGACACAATGGCTGTAGGGGGATTCAGTAGCGAAGCCTGGAGTCTCCTCATATTTCATTCGACTGCTATCAAAATGACCCTGATGTTTCCATGGCAATTTTTGATACATTCTCCTAGACATGTTTGTTGTGACGGCAGCGACTAATTTTGATACACCCTGAGAACCTTGACTGACCAAGAAAGGGCAAGGCTTTTCAACATCGTGATCGGAAGAAAGAAGAAGGGTCATATGGGACACTTGTATACCTAATCCCTCCCGAACAAGCCGCAATCAGAACAGAGACTATACATTCCCCATCAAGCTCAACTGCCTGTCCATCCACACACCCTAAAACGACTTCTACTTCACCAGAACTCCGACTATATGAGGCAGCAGGTTGAACCACCCTTCATTCGAGCCAGGTCGCAAATCCGTCGAGGTCCATTTTCCGCTATGCAGCAGCATATCCTCAGTGTCTCGTGTCAACGAGCAACCATCCAGAAAGACGGGCCAGATGGTGTTCATTCCAGCTGTATCATTAGTCTCGAATACAAGTAGGGCCCACCTGAGCAACTTACCTTGACAAATACCCGCAACTGACCGCCCATTCTGTGCCTTGACATGTTCATAAATGAGCCACTTTCCATTCGGTTTGAGGTACTGATACAGGCTCTTGATCAACGGTCCCGGAGACTGGACACTACACAGCACATGCACTGTGCTGATTGTGTCGACCGTGCCTGGTTCCACCCCCACCTTCGCGAGATCCTCTACCGTGTGGAGGATCTGGCATTTGCCCCCCAATCCCAGCTCCCTGATTCTTTTTCGAAGCACCGGGTGAAAGTCACCGTTCGGCTCAATCAGGTACAACTTTGTGATGTTCCTATTCCGCGCTTCGGTGAACAGGTATAGCCAGTCCCCTGAGCCGGATCCAAGGTCGACAACTACGCCATGCGCATTGGAGACAACTTTCTCGACGTCGGGAGCGAAGAGAGGCCTGGAGGCCCAGCCGAAGAAGTTCCAGAAGCGGGAGAACCAGGCTTGCTGGAAGGATTTCCAGGAGGTCAGGTCGGCGGTTCTTTGGTTTTTGATGATGGCGATGAGTGTTATGGGGAGGTAGAGAATTGCCGTGATGATCACCAGGACAGGGACCAGGAGGTCGAAGACGCTGAGATTCAGCATGATGATTGAGATGTTACGAATCCCATCTATATTACTGTTTGCATTCTGAATACCGTCTGATAAGAAACCAGGTCCTTTTATGCTAATAGGCACAGTGTAGCGAGATACTTCATCGTGATGTCAATGACTAGAATTACAGCTTGACCGAAGTGATTCAGAGTGACTGCCTAACTCAATTTGAGTTGATTTCTCCAAAACTGTGCAATCTCGGCTGTGATGGACCGAGTCTTGAGATAATAGAACGTCATGTGGCGGATGGCAGCTGACTCGCTTGAGATAGAGTTGGCACCGCACTTTCTCCGGTCCATGCTGATCATGAATAAAATAATAGATTATGGGAGATTTGCAAGTTAATTTATTATTTACAAGCTGTATAGAATGTCAGTCATGAACATGCTATGACAATCTGTACCTTTTATGACAAAGAAATCATCCTATTCTGGCGGAGAGCTAACAATATCAATCTACAGCCATATGTAGTTCATCTACTGATTCAGTGATAGATCCAGGATAATCTTTCCCCTAGCATGTCCCTCATCCAGTCGCTTGAAGGCCTCCTCGAACTGCTCCAGAGGCCAAACACTGTCCACGACACCCCGACATTTGCCCTCCTCCACCAGCTTCGTGATCTTCTCCAGATCTACTCGATTCGCCGACACGATGAAGAACAGATTCCGGACATTCTTCCCCTTGCACTCCTCAGGCTGCACCTGCTCTGGAGGCTGGAAGATGCTGATCAGAACCCCACCCTCCTTGACACACCACCACGCATCTTCCAACGACTTCTTGCCAACACAATCGACCACCAAATCAACCTGATGCTCCGGCCTCTGGCCCCACTCCTTCAGATCCATCTCCCGGTAGTTAATCACCTCGCTTGCTCCCAACGACTTCACAAATTCGACATTCCGCGGCCCACACGTCCCAGTCACCGTCGCACCCGCCAACCGCACCAACTACACAACCCAGATCCCCGCACCCCCCGAGGCAGCCGTAACAAGCACCCTCTTCCCCTTCCACGCCTCATCGCCCAGCTCCCCGATCCCCGACTGCACGAACAGCGCCTGCAGCGCCGTCTGCGTGCTCAGCGGGATGGAGGTACTCTCCGCCCAGCTCAGATGCTGCGGACGGCGCGCGAGATCCCCGCCGGACACGATGGCGTAGTCGCGTGCGCAGCCGGGGCGGAGAAAGTGCGAGCGTGCGTAGACTTCTGTACCGGGTTGGAAGTCGGACGATGCAGGTGCAGTGATTACTGTTCCGGCGACGTCGTAGCAGGGGATCTGCTCGCGGGCTTGAAGGGCGGGGTGGTACTTGGCCCAGTTGAGTTCGTTGGCGCAGGGGCTGACGCAGTGGACGCGGATGAGGTGCTCGTCTGTCCCTTCTGTGGCGGTTGGGACCGGATGGTCTGGAATGAGGACCAGACGGGGTTCCTCGAAGGAGGGCTGGAGGAGGGCGCGCATTGTTTTGGGGAGGGCCATTGTCGTAGTGGTGGGTGAGGTGTGTTTTTCTAGTGCTATTGTTTGAGATGCTTCTATAAATTGTTAGAATGGTCGACTGGCATGATGAGCATGATGTTTTTATACCCTTTTGTGAACCTTATACATCAGCTGTCTCCATAACCGGATTGCCGGTACAAATACGAGACGAGATACTACGAGCTGGGATAACACGAAGGATGCCAAGCAGTCATTGAGTCATCGATTTACAGATTATTAATCGAGTGACAAAAGAGAAAGTGTAAAGACTCATGTTGCGAACTCGTCTAGGGCCAGCCGGGTATTGAGATTCCCTGATTCCCGGACACCCGATCTGCGGCAATAGGATAATGGTCTGTCAGCACTTCGAGGAAATGTATTTACTGTGTCCGACGCCGAACTTTCGGACAAATAATGCTGGTTTGAGGTCAATCTAATTAAACCCTAAGATCTAATAGCGGTTTGAAATGTCCTGCTTGTTTTCGCGGTCGATAACCCCAAGGACTTGTGCTTAGGGCTATGATGTTGTGATCCCTAACCAGAGCGATTTAAATGAAGGTAATCAAGTATAGCCTGCTACGCGGTTTGAATGTAATAAGCCTGGTTTCAGATTCAGCACTCAGCAACGACCAGATCATGAGACAGGGCGTCGCAAATAGCCGCCTCATGATAGTCAATGTCAAACAAATCGCAGAAGTCCAGAGGCTCAACAGGCGCATCTAATACAAATGCAGAAATGTCCGTCAATACTTCAGATACACCCGCTGTGGTATGCTGTGGTTCTCGCGACGCGGGTGGAGAGGGCAATGGTCGGTCCAGCGACAATATCTCTCGTGCGATCACACTGATTTCCTGGTACGTCCGTTTGCCAAGAGACCAATGTTCTCCCATTGCCTTTAGAGTCCCCATGATGACTCTGATGCGCTCTCGGTTGAGTCGCAAATCCTGTCCTTTGAAGACATACCGGCAGGCGGAGAGATGGGCGACGGCCACATTGGCAATCATGCAGATAATGAACGGAGTGTGGCTGACGATGTTTGTTAGAGGGTCAGCAGGGACTCGAACTGCTCAATCGAGTGCAAAACTCTCCTCGTATGCAATTCACTTTTAGGGGTGTTACTTTGAAGGAGGCTCTCTGGTGGAGCGGGCGGGGTACAATATGACACGCCCTCGATGGTGCTATACGCTAGGGTTGACTATTGCCGATGAAGGTCGACAATCTATCTACACATTATTAGTTTGAGGCTCTCAAGTGAATAGAGATGGACACACGTATGGATGATAGCGTTTGCCTTGAACAGGATCTTGTCCAAGGAGCCATCGGATCTAAAAACCGTCTTCTTTGAAGGCGGCAAGAGTGATGTCTACGAGACAAGAATCGCATCAACATTAGCACAAACGGTAGTGATGTTCTTGATATCCAAGTCCTTTCTTGAGGCAAGAGCCAAGTCTAAACTCCGAGTCAAGCCCACTATCTCAGCAAATGATGAGAACTCACGTTCATCACTCGCAAACTCTCGCATATCGTACTCTTCCAGCGTTCGTGGATTTGGTATATCCTGTGATCTCAGCCATGGTAACATACCCCAAGAAGGAGGACCGCCTACCCAGACTCGTACTCTTCCTCCTCGCAAGGCAAATGAACATCCATATGTATGCTAGTCGTCCGGAAGGGATAAGTGTGCGTGCTTCCAGTAATATGCGTATTGGTAATATAAACTTGCCACCAAGTCCGTCGCCAGCTTTCCTTGAGGATTAGGTCGTTCCTCCCGTGCTGCGTGGCAAATTCACTCTGATTCACTCCAAGGCCAAGGGCCATCTGAATGGCTTCATCAAGCAGATCTAATCCTTTTCTTGTCTTGTTGCACCAATAAACTGTAATAGAGTAGAGCAGTACCGCCTGCACTGCGAATGGTGAGACTACATGGTTGGTATTCCGGACGACAGCTAGATTTTCCTCGACATCATCCTTCAATTGCGATGTGGTACTGATGTGTTATGCAGAGAGCCGATGTACTGCATCACCGCGTATAGTGGCTGTATTGCCTGGCCGTCGCTGACGGCATAACGCTGGATTGCAAATTGAGGTACTGCGCATGGGTGCGCCCCATGAAAGTACCGATAATACAATAAGAGCAGCGGGTCATCCACAGAATTGCTCGGATCTACTGTTGGGATAGTCAAATCGACGCCCGAATTCATTTCCCTGGGCCCCGCTTGTGATAGGATTGGCAAGATCGATGTAAACGATCCATGATCTGTTTTCGCCCCATGCATTGTCGAAGCCAGTGTATTCAAGACCTGACGACGACCTCCTCGTCGCGACTTGACATACACACATTCTTTGTCCTCCTTGAGGCACCGAGTACATCGTGGTAGAGCCGCATCACATCGAACATGTTTGGCCCGACAGGCCATGCAGGCGCGGGATGAGCGATGCTTGGATGTAGCCAGGTCTGGCATCTGAATCGATAAGAGGTATAACAGATTTGATGTAGAACGGAGCATGTCAGTACTAGATGTATGAGAATTAAAGAAGGTTGATTATGGGAAGGATGGGTCAAGCAGTCTGTCAGCCGGTGAGCCCCGCTGAAAACACTCTCCAGTCAACATTGATCTTATGGCCGAGATTAATTGGCTCGTGGAGTAAGCACACCATATTCCTGTCTGGGCAACCCAATAATTACTTTGTTGACCTAGCCGTTCGATGCACTCTTATAAAAATCGAGATTCAATCGGAATTTTTGCTTTTGCTCTTATCATTATCTGATTTAGCCTTTATAATTTTGAGAATTCAGCCTTTCTCCTTCTGGAAAGATGGAGGCTGATTCCCAGTTGGGAGTTATGCCTATCCATTTCCTGAGCTGGTGGATATATATATCAAATGCCAAACCTCCGCTTTGTGCATTCTTCGCTATATTAATGTTCAGATAGGTGTAAGCTTCTAGCGCGACAATATATGATTAGTAGTGAATCCTCTCTTTATCAAACTAATATATCCTAAATTGGTGCAAAATCTTCAACGTCCATTGGCAGCAAGGCATCTAGGGCAGATTGATAAAATATTGGGTCTTGATCTTTAAAAAGTTCAAACGCTCCAACAACCAATCAAATGGCTCAATTGGTTTAGCATCATTGGTCTAGTGGTAGAATTCGTCGTTGCCATCGACGAGGCCCGTGTTCGATTCACGGATGATGCATTACTTTTTATCTATTTGTACTTCTGTCAGCTGTCCCCTCTGCTCACTTTTTGTTTTCCTCTTTTCTTCATGGCTTCCATTCCCTTGTCCAATTTTCTCACAGCATCGGCACTCCCACCCCTTCGACTCATAACCGAGAAAACTGGTCTGACGCGAGTCTGAAAGCCCTTTGGGATCTATAAAACACGGATAACACGTCCAGTAGGCAGATATGCCGGACCACTTATAATCGTATTGTACGTCTTACATTACCTGAATGAACCATGCATAAAACACTCACCTATAAGAACGACGTACTTTGCTCTCTCATTACCAATATCCGAGTCCGACTGGAAACCCTCATAGTCATATCGGGTCGAACAGCCGAAGAATGAACGGTTGCATTGTTTGCCTTGTTAAGGAATACGTAGACTTGATAGAGGTCTCTATAGTCCATTGAGCCTGGCTGTGCGTTGAAAAGTGAAACATCGACTCCGATCCTCTGCCAATGGAGAGAAACGACCTTGAAGACTACTGCTGCTTTGCGACCCGTGGTCTAGTTTCAGGCAGCTCCAGTGTGGTCTGGTGAGGCAAGTTGAGACAAAGCCCGCGTGAACACTAAGTCTTCTCAGGAGGGCCAACTACGCGAAGACCCAGACCTTGCACTCAATTGCGTAGAGACTATGACTTCAAAGAAAGCTTCACTGACCGGAAACATAGTAGAAGCAGACTGAGAGTGTCTTCACGAAGGGAGTATGATCGAGTTAATTCATGATGTAGCTCTGACCTATGAGGCCATATGGAGCCATGCAACGCTCGAACGAGGGAAATGTCATTGACCTCCGCCCAGGCGATGAGATGGAGGACCAGAGGGCTCCTGATAGAATGCTCTCCATGAACTCTCGACCGTCAACCATCGATATCACTTCCGTTTTCAACAATAGTGTCTCGAATTATATCATAATCCAGTGGACATAGTCATGGACTTCAGCCAGCCATGATCTTCTACACGCCGGAGTGCAACCCTACGGATACTCTCAACTGTTACTATAGCTCATATGTATCATTCTGGTGGTAATTGACTCGAGGATTGCCACATTACACTTCTGAAAGCGTCAAGAGCTTCCATCATTGCCACTATAAACCTGCAAAACCACACTGAATGCTTGACTTCACCTACGTAACCTGAACCAACGTGTTGTCTAGAACAAATGGATCAACGGCGGACTAAGAGTCCATTGCATCAACGATGCGTTCGAGATCCTAAGACCGTGAGCACTCTCTATCCAAGTAGGGAGAAGCGAAGCTATAAGTAAGAGACAAAACTCGTCGAAATGATACTGCCATGACCATCAAAAACTGCTCTACCGAATTCACTAAAGCAGGGATTCCAATTCTTCCCTTATTGAAGCTCATATCCGAAATGCCTGCCATTGTCAGCCGCCAAACCTCCACCCCGAGACCTATCAACTCGGTTGAGAATGGCACCAAGGTGACCACCATCAGTTCCTGCGGCCTTCTTGTCAATGCAGCCCGTAAAGGCAACGTCGACACCATCAAGATCCTGATCTATCTCGGCGTCGACGTCAACTAATTCTACGACGGCGTCACCCCACTCCTCGCAGCAGCCATAGCAGGCCAGGAAGCGGCCATGATGGAGCTCCTTCAGCATGGTGCGAGCCTCAAAGCCCGGGATGAGGAAGGCTGCACCATCTTCAAGCTCCTGCTCGACAACGGTCACTACGATATCGCGGAAATGCTGATTGACAAGTACCCCGAGCTCACCGTGACGGACCCGCGTCTGCCTCAAGGTGAAAAATGGCTCCGGGAGCAGTTCAAAGAGATTTCGGACAGTGTTAAAGATCAGGACAGCAAGCCTAACGAGGAAGTCCTGGAGTATCTCATTCGCGGGGACCTTCCTCGTGAGGAGGAGCGCTCCGTCTCGGACATCTACTGGGAGCATATCTTGCTGCGTTATATCGGGGATGTTCCGTTGGATATCAAGCGAAACTACTCCAAGTCCCTGCGTCTGTCTCTGATGGGCACTTTCGATTATTTCTTGACGGGACATGATGGTATCAAGAAGTCAGCCAAGCTGCTTAATAGCAAGTTGCCTACCACGGAATATACCATCGAGGGCACCGTGGTGGATGAGGCTGGAGGATGGGTGACGGAACGTTGGAGCTACCATGATGCTTATGACATCCATGTGAGAGACGGTATAGATTCATTCTTGATTGATAGTAAGACGGGAAAGATCATGGTGAAGATGATCAACTATAATGTTGAAAAGAAGACGAAGTCTTAGGTTCCTGTCTGACATGGCTTCGGGTTGGGACTAGTCGATTCGTCCGACGGCACGAACAGGATGGGAAACCTGTATTTTGTGTTTTCCAAATTCTAATGTTGCTTTGGTTTTGATCAATAAAATTTGATAGTAAAGTTTGAATCAAAACGATTTGACCTTAGTCCACAGTAATTCCTACCCGGCTAGATGTAGGTATAGCTACCGGAATCAGAGATATGAAGGACTTCTTTATCAGAGCATATGGCCCATTGTCTTTTGCGAACCTAACATACAGGAGACTCATGAGCTACAGGTAGGTCATGTTGGCTTCACAAAATCAATCAAAGAAGAAATATTATCACCACCACGACCAGCCGCTACTGCCTTCTGCATGAATTCCTTCATCGGACGAATAAAATTAGCAGAGACTTGCTGGGCCGCACTGGCGTCGATAATATTCTGAATAGCAGCCAATTGCATGCTGAGATTCGATCCTTCGCTGGCATACTTCCCATCATCAATCTGCTTTGCCATCCCTTTAGTGTATTCGGTCATTGCTCCCAGCCAGGGAACCAGGAGGTCCACGAACTTGACTGCAGGCGTGCTCGACCTCACGAGCGCAGTTGCATGCAGGAAGCCCGAGAATAGACCATACATGCCACTGAGCAGAGCCAGGTCATGCAGCGATGCAGAGCCCGCACCATCACCGAGGAATAAGCACTTGGCTAGCACTGAAAGATCGGCCTTGGAGGCCTTGAATGCGCCAGATGAGCTGCTGTACAGAATGAGGGCATGAGGTGAACTGATCATGGAGGGGGTGGCCATGATTCTGCCGTGGATGTATTGAGCACTGTGATTCATGATCAGATCTGACAGTGTCTGAGCTTGTTCAGGGGTTCTGTTTGTGAGGTTGATGATTGTCTTGCCTTGGAGTTGGTTAAGAGTGCTGTCGAGGCTTGCTTGCACGGCGGCGTTATTGAGGAGGTAGATGATGATCAGGTTGCTTGCGTGGATGCCATCCACTGCTGTATGGGAAAGTGTTGCGCCCTTTTTGAGCAAAGGACTTGCTTTTTCTAGCGATCGATTCCATATGGTGACTTTGTACTTCTCTTCGAGGAACCGAGAGGCCAGAGCTGTTCCCATGGCCCCAAGACCAAAAATGCTAATGGATGACATTTTGATCAGGATTTGAGAGGGAAAACTGATCTGGTTGATGATTGATGCATGCATTCAGCGAATTCCTACTTGATTTATATGCCTGCTCCCTTCGTGTTGTTCCATCTTGATATCTGTATGCTTGGCAGCCAAGAGATGCTTTGAAATCACTTTGGGGATATCTTGTATTTGATAAATTAATAATAGAATGCCAAGTGCATCGACTCATTTTAGAGTGTTTCTAATGATATATAATACAGAAGTCTTCAGGGATAGAAGTTTGGAAGTATGGATATGCATTATATGAGCTAGTATATGAGGTAATATTACCGCGAGATGCCAGGCATCGCGTGAATCTGAACCCATATAGTAGTGCCCAGGATAGATTCCTTACAGGAGGAGTCTAGAAGATTATCTACTACTTATAAAGTCGAGATTAGGTGGCCATATTCTTATGATAGTATCATGCTTTTCATTACTTCAATATGTTGTATGGAGGATCTATAGTAGAGATGAGAATCTCAGACATACCTTAGGGTTACTGATATTATGTATCATTATCACCCTACGAATAAAGTTTGTTAGGCCCCGATGCCCCTTTAAGGATACTTATATACTTTCTATTAGTTAAAGATTCTTATGTTTTGTAAGGAGATAATCCAGAAGAATAATGATTACCTTGGTGCCGACAATAAACACCTTATTATTTGTACACTGCTTTCTCCTTTACAACCTTGATAAGGTAATTGCAACATCTCACACAGGCACTCTTATAGTGAAATTACTTCATATTCTCTATTCCACTCCCTCACTGTAACTACCATGACTTTTATGATTCCATACTCAGCCTGAAATTGCAAGATAACCAGCTCAGAGACTGCCCTTTTAGTACGTTGCGCTAAAGTACACCACTCTTGCAGACATAGATTTGGGTGGTGTTATAACAGAGGGAAGGGAATGTGCAATTAACTTGTCGCATAAATTAGCTAGAAGACTCAAGATGAATGATAAATGCACCCAGCCGTGAGAAAAACAGGATCACGCTAGATCCTAACCACGCTCCTGCAATATATTTTCAGACAATGAAAACCCTGAAGCCGGAAGCAGCAGAGTTCGTCAGTATTCCTCTGCATGCTGCGGACCAGGATCTTCTACAGGTGTCTTACTCCTCAAAAAGAGCGTATAGGTACCTGACCGTCACTATAGCATTGCTTCCTTGAGTGAATTGTCAGTAGCTGACACGGACAACCACTTAAGACATCTGCTTTGGGGTCGTCTCGCTACGGTCCGCCGATATAAGGGGCCGTACTGGTAGGTAAGTTGCTCGCCCAAGTCCCAGATCTGTATGTGTTGCAGTAGGGTCGAGGAGCCTGTCTTATGGGAAAAGATGAGTTTGCGATCTATGTATATCCTTTTCCCACGACACCTCCTTGTTAACGGTCAATCTGATCGAGAGGTGTTTCCCTGAGGGCACTTGAGATTTCATCGATCAAAACTATACTTTGACATACGCGATTGTATTCCGATGCCAGAGAGACAGTAACATGTAAGGGCTCATTTAAATACGCTAAAGGAGATATTTCCGGGTGAGAGCCATCCCGTATATAAAAATAGATAGAACATCATTAAAAGGTTGTTATTATTCAGCAACACAATAAAACTTTTGAGAATGTCAGCGAGTTTGCAACAGAGAATCACCAGATGCCTGGGATAGGCGATCAATTGTTCGGAACGCAGTCTTCAATGGGCCACCCTCCTATTTGAGCATCTGTTAGGCTGTAGAATTGAAGAGTACTCTCCACATCAGTTGTTTGAATAACGGGCGGAAACGTATAGCTCATCACAGACTTGTTGTTACGAGGACCGAGTTGCACTGTTCCGCCCTCCGTCTCAGGAGCAAATTCGTGCCTCAAGCCCAGCACATGGCCCAACTCGTGCAGGAATATGTTTTTCATGTAGTTAATCTTGCCAGGCTCAAAGGCCAGTCTGTAGACGTAGAGCATGTTTAGATCCTGTTCGTTAGGGAAAAAGGCCCTCGCAAGGGTAGAACCGGCGTCGCCGCCATAAGCAAGCACAAATGCCGCATCTTCGACGTCGCTAACCCACTCAAATTTCACTCCGAGTTGGAGCTCATTCCATTCGTCAGTAGCCTTCTTGAGCATTCGAGCCGCAAATAAAGCCTGGTCAGACGTTGCGTAGCCCTCAGCGAAAGCAGCAAAGTTGATTTTGCTATTCTTCTTCCAGCGGTAAATTACTCGATTGCCGCTGACCTGAAGGCCAATCTGAAGGCTAAGTACGTCCGAACTTGGAATGTTTGCTGGTAACGAACTCTGGGTAGCGCAATGATACGCAGACTCGGAGATTGATACATTGTTCTTGTCTTGGAGATCAACAATGCCAGCAACAGTCTGTGAAGTATAGTCGGCGGCAACAGTTTTGAGGCTCTTCTCACCCGCAACTTCTCTCCACCTTTTCAATAGCTCCTTCTTTGAGTTTGGGTTGATTGTTAAGTGGCTTTGTTGAGGCATTGGGGGGGGCTCGATTGTTGTTCCGCACCAATCATTCAGTATAATGTTTGTGTCTAAACTGGGTGTGCTATTGCTCATGTATCCCTGAGAGTGAGCAAACTGGAAAATGGAGAGGGGGATCAAAGACTGCGGATTCTCTTTCTTCATATATCCGAGTATTCTATAAGTCTGGCCATCTAATCATCCCCTCAGTCCGTTTTGCGTATGGCATTCATCCATTACAGTCTTGGCTCAGACATCATTTCTGCATCAATCTGTCAGGTGCTTGCGATTATACTTGCGACGATGTGTCACATGAGAGTGAAAGTCTGATGAGCGGGCTGGCCTTTTTCTTTTGAGCAGTTATGTGTCAGTCCAGGCGAAGCACGCAGAAGTGCTTCATTTGCAGAAAGCTTTGTTCTCAGATACGTAGAGTTCCACAGCTACGAAAAGGACTCAACCACTCAAATCCGATCTCGAGCTGTGCTAAATAGAGGGAACAATGCAATCAACCACCGGAAAGCAAAAATAAAGATATGGTTGTTGGGTCAATCTACATCTACGATCCGACGAATGAGGTTGGTTTTCATCCTTCCACCCACACCCTACCAGACTTCCAACCATCTCTATATTATCCACATTAGTGTCATAGCCGCATGCGGAAGTCTCAATGACATTAGGTTTGTTCTCCTTTTTATGGAAAGGGCAGGCATGTGCCTCTATCGTGTGACCGTAGAACCAGCAGAGGTAACTAGCATATGCTAACTATGTGGTTAGGGCTAGATAACTATCCTAATTTCCAAAAGTGAAAACGGATTCAAAGCACCCATAGCGAAGTGCCAAGTAAAAAACATCTGACAATGAAAATATATCTGTCATAGTATGAAGTTTGTAGGACCAGGGAAGAAAGCCAGATGGCTTTGGGCAGTGGTGTTCCGTAGAGGAAACTAGGTGATCCAGTGATCCAGACTTCTTGCAGAGTTGAGGCGTTATGTACAAAGGAATGTGTGACTGTCTTTTTGGTGGTGTCTCTTGATTGCGAAGACTCGGGGTAATTACAGTGAATTATGAGTAAATCTGTGATTCCTTGGACTGTATGAGTGAGCATCTCAAAGAAAGGATTCCGAGAATGCTATACATGGCCTCTGTTATGCAAAGAGCCTAGGCTGCATATATAAGCCCTAGTGTAGGGGAAAAAAGAGTTTGGCTGGGTTCCCAGAGACTTAGTCTAGATGGGTGAGCAATCTGTTATTATAGCAAGATAGAACAGAAGTATTTGTGGATTGGCCTTCGAAGGTCAGATTAAGTACAGACCAAATAATGAACTTCAAATGACTTTTGTGCATCTTTCATCATGTCCTCCCCAGTCCACAGCAACTTATGAAGACACAGGTCTTCAGCTGTTCCTTCTTCGAGTCTCAATGAGCAAAAACAATCGGCCGGCCCTGGGTTCTTGCCTGTCCAGAGCTGTAGCTTACGCCATCCACTTTGAGTCCTTGTTCATTGACCAGAGTGATAGTGTCGCCATGACGGGAAAGATGACAATTGGGGACCTCGAAAACTCCCGTCGCCTTTGCGTCCAAGGCTGCATTAGAGGGAAGAACCTGGGTTTGACCAGCTGAATTATGAATCTTCCAAGTCGAGAGGGGCACAGTCTTGCTCGTAAGGTTGGTAAGAGTAACAGATTCTTGTCTTGCCTTGGAGGCATCCGGTCCAGGAGGCTTTATATTTGCCTCCTTGATGGCCACTAAATTCTCGATAAGGCCAGTATGCCTTTTTTGGTCGCTTAAGTAGTCACTCCAGGTTTCCGATGATATGGCATGTCCGGTCCGGTCATCGGTGTGGGCCGCTTGTGATGCGAAGCCGAGGAAAACCCCAACCCACCGGCCGGAATCCGTGAAATGAATCAAAAGAGCTCCATCTTGAAAGACGCCATCATCCTCCTGCCAGCGTCCTTTGTTGCCCTGGTTCATATGAACATCATGAATTCCGTCTCTTGTGTTGAAACGCGAACCAAACAGATAGACTTCAGCTTGGTGTTCAATTGCCTGACGGATTTCAGGTTCCAGCACGTCAATAATATCGTTATCGGGGCCCTCAATGTCATGTGGAAGAAGCCGGCCGCTGTTGACATTGAACAAGTTACTCCGGACATAGTCAATCCTGGGACCGTCGGGGCTTGGCTTTGTATCTTCGAGTAGATGGAACCCCGGCTCTAAAGCACTGAGCTTATCAATAATAGGATGCCGGTTGAAATCGTGATCTACCCAATAGACGAGTCGAGAGTCCTTCTTGTCTTCCGATTTAATATTGATTGCAGCTCGAAAGAGCCCAAGAATTTCTTTCCCTGTACGGCGAAAATCGCTTTCAGAACCCTCCTTGCGATGTTGCCCGCTGTCGTCATAATACAATGATAGACCGTGGGTCATCTTCATGATGTTCAACTATGTAGTGCACAGGGCGTGCCTTCCAAACACCGTAATCTTCGATAGGCATACTGAAAAGGTAGTTGACAGTCCACTAATGTGTTAGTAGCGAAATTGTTCAGTACTAGTACTAACTATCTACCCGATTTCAGGCTCTAAGAGCAAGGTGAGGGTATTTAAGGCACCACAGTCCATAATGTCGAGTCTCATGACGCATGATGATGCATGACGTACTATAAAAAGTGACATTGAAAATTCCATATATTATTCAAACGAAGAATGTAGAGTAAGGTAGTAAGTGAGCTCAGGCCTAGAATCGTCGATTTGTAGTCAAGTCAATATACTTGCCGCATAGTTGAACTGTTGATTGCTCATGCCGCCAATCGACTTGGGCATATTCTTGACGAAGTTTGGGGTTACTAAAGAAATGCTCATCAGTGGTTGGTCCAGCGGTTCGCAGCTTGTTTATCCTTATTTTGGAGCAGCTCCTAGGACTTTATGCCCCCAAACCTCACCCGTGGTTCGGCTCCTGTTTGGGCTAACGAGACCGGGGTCTAGACTTCCAGAGTCCTCAACTGAACGACGCTTGTGGTATTCCTGGCGTCAAGCTCATGAGATATCAGAAAGGCGCACAATGTTATGTAGCTGGACATTTAACGAAGAGCCTAAGGCAGATAGGCTCGGCTGAGCTCTCATCAAGAATAGTCGAGAACAGCCCTTCTGCTTGGCGGCCTTGATGCTTGTCGGGACTCGGGTCATACAGGCTTATGGGCCCCCATTGACGTGGACTATCCAGTTTTAGAAAAAGCGGCTTGAGGGAGCTGAATATTGATGATGATTCCATCAATTAGACCACTAATAAATACCACTCTTGCTTTTAGTTATTAACATTTGAGCCAAGACATACTGATCGTAACTGCCAAGCATAACTACAAAACCATCCTTACCTCATACTCAGCCTTTTAATCCCATTGGAGGACAGGTCTGAGAGTACCCTTGTAAGTTGGAATTTGGAAGAAGATGGCCATAAGGTCGATGATTCTGCACAAGACCATCTATTGCTCAATAACTCCAAAACTCCAATCTCAGTAGGTAGTTTCCAATGCGACGAATCTCCAGGAGTTGACAAGAGGGATGTTAGTTAGCCATTGATACATGTAGTTCATCTCTCTCTTATTTCTGGACTTGAACTCCTCCTATGCTGTAAGTCCATGTTGGCATCTTCAGCAACATTAGCAGAGCTAGGGACGGGAGCATAGGGATGTGAAATGCTCTTCCGCAACGGATGGGCTGTTCCAGTTTGGATAGTCCCTTCATCAGTCACTTTATGAGCTGCCGCAAGAGCAAAATCACCGGAGTCGAAGTAGGTCCGTTGCTTTTGACCGTCAGTCATTCTCTTTGATGGTCATTATCCAAGAAGTACCTTAGACCCTGGACCTAGTAGCCCTCTGTGAGGCAATTTCCCGTATGTGCTGAGGAGATGCTTTTCGTGCTCTGAAAGCGGCTAAAGTTGAAGAAGAAGTGAATTAAAGGTACTGATGTGGTATTGGTCAAACTTACTTCTGTAGAGGGCTTTTTGCTCTCTTTTGTATCCATTTCACTGTTTAGCCTGTGTGGAGTCAATGATCGAAAACCATTAAGGGGCGAGAATTCCGAATATGCTTTGGGTCGGTAAGGCGACAGTGACATCATGCCTTAAGTGGGGCAATGCTTTATCCCCAGATCTCCTGACAATAGAAGGTCAGGAGATCTACTGAAAGGGGCGACGGTGTTTAAGCTAGATTAGGCTAATCGTCCTTTGTCCGTGAGCATTTCAAAAACTGGGCCGCCACAGCGCCTCAGGAAGAGCAGGGCACCGGTCCAGGCAAAGCTCAGCGGTACCGGTACTGTATCCAGGTCACCGACGAGAGTTTGGATTCCATTATCCACAGAGCGCCGCCACCAGAGGAACAGACAGTCAATAAGAAGGATTCGTCAACATCGTCGATGCGAGCTGGGAGCCTTATTCACAGTGGGATGAGGATGAAAGATTTGAAGACGACGAGGAGCCACTTGAAGGCTGTACTCTGCTGGAAGCGGGCTGGATGAGGGTTCGTTATGATCGAGTCATGACAGGTTCTTATTATTATTTACGCAACGACCACGCCTGGGATTCGGAGTACCGTCGGCCACCAAAAGGTACAGCAATGAGTGATTACGAGAGTGTTTATGGTCTGAGTCTTGCAGAGTTGAGCAAACTTGAGCAAAGTGCCTCGAAAGTTTTCGAGAAAAGTACCTACACTCAAGGTTCAACATTGATAAAATACAGTATCCACTATAATGAATCATCGACATTCCACGGTAGTATCAAAGTTGCGATCCGATTCTCCCATTTCCTTGGGCTGCGAAGTGAATATATGGTGCAGAACAACAAGTTTATCCCTGTTCTCAGTTTCCACCTGATTCTCCTAGGACAGTCCTGCCAAACGCAAAGAATCTTCTGATCTTCTCCCATCCAGTTGATGGTAGCTAACTTGGTACTTGAGGGGATTCCGTCCAGGAACTCGGTCTACATATCCTCAAAGCAGAGATATACCGCCTGTTAATACCATGACTTGCATGCATTTTCTCATTTCACGCACTATCCAAGCCATAAATAAGAGAGCAACCTATCTCAACGAATTGGCTATGAAAACGACCATTAATTTCCTATATTCTTTCTCTTATACATCCTGATGTAGCGATGAAGACGTCCAGGTCCCAATCAAACCCAAGCGTATATCCTTACCGCGTCGGCATCCACGGCTCACACAACTCCTGCGGCAGACTCTTCACACAGACCGACTCGGACAACTTCACCCGCTCGGCCTTCTTATCCTTCCCCACCTGCACCAAGTCCATATCGACCTCGAGCCAGATATCATCCCCAATAGCCGTGAGCTGGAGCTCTCCATTCGCACACTCCAGATCCACCTCGACCTTGAACGATAACTGCGGGTTCCCCGTGAATGATCCGACGCAGAGACCCGTAACAGTCACTTCCATGACCGTGTCGAAGCTGAGGTGGTTGATTGTCCCGGTGACCTGGTGTTTCTCAGCTGGGATAATCAACTTATTATAAGCAAGGGGGGATAAAGGATACATTGATTGTTCCGATGGTGGTGTTGAAGGTCGCCCATTCTTTTGTTGGCGGTCTGCCGAAGAGGTTCAGCGAGGAGGATTGTTTGTTTTGGCGGACGTGGTACGTTCCGGTTCTGGATTTTGTGGTTGTGAGGATGGCGCCTATCTTGGTAAGTGTTGCTGTTGTGAGTGAGTGATGAGAGGAGTGGTACCTGTGAATAGGGCAGACTCCTGCGTTTCGACTTTGGAGTTGAGGGCAACCATGTTGAGTTAAGGCTGAAAATTTGAATGGGTGGATAGTAGTGTGGCCTTGTGGGCTTGAGATTGTTAGAGTTGAGGTTGAGGATTGGATCTTGGGGCTTTTCTAGGAGATTGGATATCAAAAGGGATGACATTGGTATCCCTTGCATATCGCCTCGTCATTCTATTGGCGTTGATCATACAGCGTCGATCATACAATTCTAACATATTCCTTCGTGGAACCGTGGAACTAGCATGATTTGATGGCACAATATGCATCCATTTTCAGGCTGCCAACGCACGGAAATAAGATAATCTCAGGGACCAGGCGGTAGAAGCTGAGGTAAGACAACGCCACGTCGATCTTATTGCTTTTTCGATAGGTCTTAATGATTGAGTACACTCCAATTTCAATGCAGCTTACTGCACTAACAGTTGGAATGCAAATGCGATCAATCACATGAATCTTTGGTACGTCGATCCCATGACGATCCCCTAGGCCCGATGAGCAGGCTGCCTGCAGTCATATTGCTTGTACTTCGCCGCGGTGCGGATTCGAAACTTCTTCCCCCATATCATCAACGAGATTGGCAGAGCCATAGTGGCCAATGCGATCATCGCAACGAGAATAAACGTGTTTTGGATGCCCATTCCCATGATCCAGGGTGTCCAGAGGAATTTGACAATCATTGAGATTCCATTGCGCACGAACACTACCGCCACGAGGGCGTCGCTGAGGATCTAATCAACGGTCAGTCAGTGATAAGAACGAATGGTGATAAGATTGATACATACGTCTGGATAACAGTTCGTCAAATAGGTGAGCGCTACGTCGGCCGTGGCGATGAAGCCAAAGCCGAAGATGCCGCATGCGACTGCCAGCATAATCCAAGGAAGTCCCTAGGAGGAGGATTTAGCAAAGAACTGAGTAAGCCAGAGTTTGGGCGAGCATACTTGTCCAAGACCAATTCCAAACATCAACAAACCGGTGCAAGTCAGCAAGGAACCCGGAATAGCCATCCAGAGACGCATCTCGGGCTCAAAGACGCAATCGTTCTTCCTAGAGGACCGAACAATGGCCCAATCGTTGACTGCCGGCGCAGTGAGTGCGGCAAGGAATGCGCCGGTGAACCCTCCGAGATGGTAGAGACCAATCGAAGACGGGCTGAAGTTGTAAGGCGGGGCGAGGAGGAAATAGGAACCAGCAGAAGCAAGGATGGAGTTGAACGCGGGTAAGCAGCCGTAAGTAATGGCGGCATATGCAACGGCGGGGAAGGAAAAGAAGACGAACAACGGTTGGTAGAAATGGTGCTTGATCCGGATGTCTGTCTTGGTGATGAAAGCCAGGCGTTGGCGATACGACTTCCAACGTGGAGCGGTTGTCGAAAGGTGACTGTCTACAGGCTGAAATTCGGGCACGTCGGTGATCTTGTCGTCTTTCTCCAGGGAAGTGGTAGGACTCGCCGACGAAGACGATTGACCGACTAGCGTGGGGATGTATTTCGACTCCTCGAAGAACAGAAGCACGGCAATCAGATTGACACTAAGGAAGATGGCAATCCACCACCACATCCACCGCCATCCTTGGGAGATCACGATATGCCCAGCAGCGATGGGCCCTCCCGTGGCACCTAAGGTTTGCATGAACAAGAAGATACCGTTCATTCGAGCATGTTGGTGAACAAAAAACAAATCAACAATTGTGATCACCACGATTGTCTCGCTGATGGCGCCTGCCAGACCCGCCAGCAGACTCACACAGATCAATTCCGCTCCGTGGTGGAAGTTGGCCCACCAGATTGCACAGGCGAACTGTACAATGGCACTGATGAGGTAGATCAGACGTCGACCATATTTGTGCGAAAGGAATGAGCAGGATGAAACCTACAGCCAGTCCAGCGAAGTTGGCTCCGCTAGCCTGGTTGAAGGTTGTGTAGGTGAGACGGAGCTCATTCATGTATCCCTTGTACGCCAGACTGTTGATATCAATCAACACAAATGTGAAGAGGACATAGCTGCAGGTGAGCCCAAAATTGAGAGACTTTCTCCAGGCTGACCAATTCTACGGATCGTAAGCAGTGCTCATCTGACCATTGGGGGAAGTCGCATACTAGGGGGTCGTCGGGATCGTCAGGAGTCGGTTGAAGACGAAATTCCCGGTCCGAGTTGCGTTCTAATAATCACCAAGATCAGTACAAATGGACCACTTCTGGCAGACATAACAAGAAGAAAGGGGCATACTGCTCTCCAGCAGAACAGTTCCTGGAGGAAATCCTCCCCTGAGATCATCGTGAACGGCGTGAGTCATGGTGGGTAGCGACTGTTGGACAGACACGCCTCCCTGAGCAGCATCTAGGCCTTGAGACACGCATTTATATCAAAGCCCCCGACTCCTGGCCTCGTGAGCAAGCATCTCCTCTCCTATCGCCCCACTTCAAGATTCTGGAGAAGGCTTTCTGCGGTGGGAGACCATTACAGGCCAAGACGGCATGTTAAGCTGTAAGTAGCTGATATCCGCCAATCAGTAGCCGCAGGCAGCCGGTATAATTCAAAAGTTACAAGAGACCGAGACTGAATACGCAACGATACGCATTAATTACGTTGGTTTGGTGCAGTTAAGCCGTCGCATCAAAGATAACTATCACGGATTTATATGATGTGGACACCCTTATCAACTTAAGGTTCACGCTCATAGGGGAATGGCGAGTTCTGGATTCCGGTCAAACAGACGATATAGGAACTTTTCGGTGCCCTGATCCCGCTCGGACCAGATGTTCGCTATCAGCATGCGCAGATTCCACGCAAATGGGTAGAAGGTTGACCCCTTGATTCCAGGTATCAGCGATAGGATTCGTTCTCGATCAGGTGGAGACACTGCTTCGCCGGCAGCCACCATTATCGCAAGGGTGATGTTGGGCGGATATTGGCCCGTGACCGCGAGACATTCCGCCAATTGGGAGACTATCGACTCTGATAGGGAAGCTGCTTCTCCGTCTCGTTCCCCGAAAGAATAGCGTAGTCGATGTAGAATGAGAAGGGCGCTAGCGCGATGCACATTCGCCTGCGTCATGAGGAGAAGCATCTCTACCTCGGAGAAGCGGTTCAAGGTAGCGGGGGAAACGTAGGGAGCCCACGCGGTGATTTCCCTCGCAAGACGGTCAAACTCGACCGAGGATGATTGATACTCGCCGCCAGCCTTAACGGCGGCAATCATGAGGCAAAGACGATAAAGCAGAGGGAGCAAAGGGCCGCACAGGCCAGCAAATCTGTCTATTGTTTCAGGGTCGTGAACTCGGTATTCCATTACCGGAACTCGACCTCGGAACAACGACTGAGTGGTATCAAGAAAGATGAGACAACCCAGCTCCATACTAATGCTTGCGTCATGCCATAGTTCAGGATACCAGGGCCGAACGAGTGACAACGTAAACCGGCAAATGGTGGTAGCCGAGATAGTCGATATCAATCTGTGGAAAGTCACAAGGCTGAGTCCAAGGGCCAGGAATGTCCCCGCATCTTCAAGTTTCGTGAGGCGTGCATTTCTCAGCATCTGCAGCGCAGAGGCACAGGTTGACAAATCAATGTCACTACAGCGAGCCTGTTGCGCAGTTCCACGAAGAACCGCGCGAGCGATAGAAACGTAGGGGTCCAAAAGGAGCAGAGGGGCTCTGACGATACGGGAGCGTATAATCTCGCGCATCTCCCGACCGAGAGTTGGCCCCAGAGAGAAAAAGGTGCATACTTCGAGCACGTAACACTCCGGGATTTCGGAGAGCTGCTTGCCTTGATAGGTCGCTAGCCGGAGTGCGGCTTTGGTTTCGTCTGTTTCGCCCTCTGCCTGGCTTGAGCGTGTCAGTGAGTGGGCTGGTAATGGATCGTCGACACGTCTTGCAGCGAGAGATACACGAGATTTCGGTTTGCGTCCCGGCCGCTCACGTCTTCGAGTGTAGGTACAGGAATGGTGCAGTCGAAAACAGCGAGAGCAAGCTCCTCCACAAGCACCTGGTATGCACTTTGCTTTGATTGAATGACATCGATCGCATGCTGATGACTTCATCCTCTAGACAGATCTTCAATTTCAGGCAGCATCGACCTATTGTCGCTATCCCCGTTTATGAAGGCCCAGACTGCCATGTTTGTTCTGCAAATCCTTGAGTTATGAAGATGATCTGAAGTGGAGGTAAGCAGGCTAGACCTTTGCGGTATAGCGTGGCGTGTCATCCAGTAACCGAAAAAGGAGAAATCACGATATTCCGAGCGGAGGCTTTGACACAACCATTTACTCCGTACACTAAGGCCGTTCTCATTCAGGCTGTTCTCTTGCTATATCAGTAAAAAGTGTCTATCAAATTCATCCTCCTCAGACTAAGGTAAACTATGTTCCTCTGAAGGCATTTCGCTCATTAGGTCAGAGAAATATGTCGAGGGAAGACGACAGGCATTGGAATTGCCATTGGAATGTTGAGTACAATATTCAACGTGAGTTATATATAACTTCCTCAACCATATATTTGTCCAAGGCACAGAATGCTTGTCGGTTTGCATCAGCACAACCTTTCCGTCCCCCCTATGCCTTGCTTTTCAGACACTTGTCTATGATCTTTGCCATTTCCAAACATTCCTCATCTCTCATGGTCGTAGTGAAGACTTGGATAGAGCACGGTGCTCCTTTCAGCTGCGTGAAGTTGTCTATAACCGAAACCGTTAGTGAAAGGAATATGCTCGTGGGTCAGCAAATGTACTCACAAGGCGGTCCAGCCTGACCAGGAGCAAGCTCAAAGGCCTTCTGGGCATCCATCTCGTTGACCTGTCCGAAAGGAATGATGCACGAAGGATACTAAAAATTGTTAGACGAAGCTTTCTGACTTTGAAAAACTAGCTTACGTCAAGACAGTTTAAGAAAGTCGTGTACGGTGCGAGTCCAAACATATCATGCGGAACAGCCGTGTTTTGAGCCGGTGGCGCGAGACAGATATCCAGATCGTGGCTGCTCCACATCTTCCTCCAGGTCTCTCGAAGTTCGGCTCTCTTGGCATTGAGGGCAGCAAGTTTGCCTAGCCGATCTAGATGGCTGAAATCAGGCAGAGAAGTTTTCCCCGCCTGCTGGAGTATCTCCACCTGGCGCTGGATATGAATGAGAGCAGGCACCGGTGGCTCGCCGGCTGCCTGTAAGTGCTCCATAGCTCCACGGTCGAGAGTAAAGGTATTCCACGCGACTTCGTTGATCTCCATTACCTGACATTCCTCTGCCGACAGCTCTATGATTTGATGACCTTGAGCTTTCAGTAACTTAGCTGCCTCCGCCAAGGTCCTTTGCACTGGTGGGTGCAAAGGGAAGATAGGGCTTGGGGGAATGACGCCAATTCGCAGAGGACGTCGGACTGTGGCTATTCTCCAGGGCACGTCGATGACCGAGGAATCGTACAGACCGGGTCTCGCATCTATGACCGTCTTGAGGAAGACTTCAATTGCATCCATATCCAGAGCTAGCGGCCCCGCACAGGACAGGATGAACTTCATGCCTGGGGTGCTACAGGTGCGGCCGCCACCGTTTGGGATACGAGACGCACTGGGCCGGAAGCCGTACGTTCCGCAGCACAGAGCGGGAATACGGATTGAACCTGGTTTTGTTGGTTACTTTCTGTCGACGGGGAAATATCTTACCTCCAATATCGGTTCCGACGCCTAGGGGCGAACCTCTCATGGCAATAAGAGCGCCTTCACCCCCGCTGGATCCACCAGGTCCTAAGAGAGTGTTATGGGGGTTCAGGGTACGACCAAAGACATTATTGTGCGAGTCGGCGGTCTACACCAGGCAAATTTAGCCTTTACACATCTGGAACTAGCGTGGTAGACGGGACGGACGTACCATCATTGTTTGAGGAATATTCGTCTTGACATAAATAACAGCTCCCAGGCTTAGCAAAATATCGACCAAAGGCGAGTTCTCAGTCGATCTCTCGTCCAGAAAAGAGATCATGCCAATGGATGCATGCGTTCCCTTGACATGGAAGAGGTCCTTGATGCTAACTGGAAGGCCATGCAATGGACCCGCAGATTTGCCTTGCGCCTTGAGGTTATCGAGGTATTTGGCTCGCTCTTGGGCTTCCGAAAACATAGTCTCTGTGAGACAGTTTACCTATTCAACGTGAGGACTTGTAGTATAGACGATTGGGACATTCGTACCAATTGTTGCGCCACTGCAGCTCGCTTGGAAAATGCCAGTGTCACTTCGAGCGAGGTCAAGCTTCCCTCCGCCAATGCTGACAGAAGACCAGAGACTGTGTATTCCTCTGTGATTTGCAGTTCTCGCTCGGTTAAGATACCAGATTTGCGGACAGCATCACCCTGGATCAGGTCATTTTTGTTCTCGGCAAGTGGTAGCTGTAGGGAAGAGAGGAGGCTTTCTGGTATCTTCCACTCAGCGGGGATCTTCTGCAGGCATTCTTGTTGCTTTTGGGCAACCTTGTGCTGCCAGTTGGACAGGGAGTCTTGGGAGCCCATTTTGTATAATTCAGAAGGTATTGAGAAAAGTTCAAGGTTCTTCAATATGGGGTGGGTTTACTAGGATTGGGAGCTACTCACGATATATATTTATATCGCTTGCCTCGGGCAAGTCCTCTAAAAAGTCTCAACACGAGCAGCATCCGAAGTAAGACTATCTGCTATTCTCCACCAGATCAATCGCAATGCCTCGGTCCCAGCAAGTTGCTGAGACAAGCCCAATTAGGAGAACAATCCATGATGCGATGAACGAGGGGTAAGGGTGGCTGCCAATCACAACATGGCATGATTCATCGCAATCTACCTACTCCGTGAGGTGGGACTGGTAACTTCGCCGGCTGGGATAGTAACCTGATTGGCTAGTTCGGCTACAAGAAGCATTTATGGAAAAGTTTCTGAAATCTAGTTCTGGTTCATAATGCCAAAGTTTGTTACTCATCCTCAACAAATGGGACGATGGCTCAGTTGGGAGAGCGTCAGACTGAAGTTCACTTCGTCAATTAATCTGAAGGTCCCCGGTTCGATCCCGGGTCGTCCCATTTCTGGTTCTTTTTCCGCAGCATCATTGGTCTAGTGGTAGAATTCGTCGTTGCCATCGACGAGGCCCGTGTTCGATTCACGGATGATGCAATTCTTTTTCTCTCGGAACTGCCACCTCCTTTTTGCCTTCGAAAGGTCCAATCCAGCATCTCGCTGACATTTGGCGGAGATTTTTTACCCGTACAGCATTGTCGGAAACCACACTATCCATATTTTGTCTCTATCCACTCGAGATGTGAGTGTCACCATTTTGACTGTCTCTGGTCGACAACATAATTCCACAAAATCCTAAAGCTAAGCAGAAGCAAACCGAAAAGGCGAAGCTCCTGTACTTTTTGTCCAAAAGAGTGGGAGTGAACAAAAGACGGGAAAACCAAAGACAACTGAAGTAAGATTAGGCACAAAGGAGGACCGAGCGGATTTAAAAAGTGACATCCAAGTGAGAACAGGACGAGGAGCTGTTGAATGTAGATAGAACCCGGATCAGAGTTATTAGAGATACCAGCACCTACAGGCACTTTAGTGGGAAATGCTCTCATGAACATAAAGATGCTCCACGGTGTACGAAGATTGTAGCTACATAATTGGATGTTAATGTCAACTGGTCTATTCTCTAGCCCATTCTTCCTGTAATTCTGAATCCCATAATACCTGCCTTGAATAAGCATAACAATCTTGGCTGTCATAATAATCCAGTTAAAAATGCTTAAGATGTCAAGCCCGTGAGTTCTGTGATTTCAGTTCATTCAAGCTCTGACTGGAGTGCTTGACAGACTTCCAGCTGGTCTGATCCCAGTATCCACCAAAGCAGTATCCTGGGTGCAACACAGTCAAGCAAAGAGTAGCAATAACCATCATGGCGCCCTCGAGAATCATGAATGTCACTTCGTCATTCGCCAAGGGACCGTTGAAACCCTCTCGCAGTTCGGCCACTCGGAAAATGGAGCGGACAAAGATCGCTAATGTGGCGACGGTGAGCCCTAGAACCTGTCAGATATTGGTAGCAGAATGAACACGGAGGAAGAAAAAGAAGCCTACCGATCAAGAACGCCTTCCACTTGAGCGTCTTGCGAATATGATGCATTGATCCGTTAAGTTTGTCAGGGTTCTTGTACAGTCGCCAGGCAAAATCGGCACAGAGACAGAGGAAAACCCCAAGAGATGCCACCTGGCTAGCAAGACCTGCTATCATAATGTTGATCCCAGTCTGACGAAGGTCTCGCTGATCTTTGTCCGCAGTCGAAGTAATAGCTCCTCCGGCAGCTTGGAGCACAAGAGAGAGGAGGTCGCAAAGAACGAAGATGATGGTGTAGGTTTTTGGCTTGAGGCGGGAGATATCCTCGCCGTAGACAACGACAATACGGCTGAGGCAGATGTAGATGGCGGCACTGAAGAAGGCAGGACCAATCGTGAGACAGATTAGATATCTAGGACAGTGGAAGTCAGCTCATCCTCCCGTGGTTTCCGGAAAAGGTCATTGATAGAAACTCACTCAAGGAATGGATCGAACGGAAACGGGTTGTAGTGAAGCTGGACTCTTCCGACGTAACCCACAACTTCAAGAGCAAGACCGCCGATCATTCCTACTAGGTATCCCCAAGTACGGTAATAGATGCCAAGTCCCAGATTGGCCACCAACATCGTACCAAAAAGCGCCAGGTAGAGAAGGTTACCCGCCAGGTTGGGAACATAGTCAAAGTTGGCGAGACTCAATGGACAAGTACCCAGCGTACAGTAGTCAGAGGGGTCTGTACTGTTGCTCGCCATGATGAGAACTTTTCAGAATACGCTCCAAGCAAACAATAAGCGAAACAGAAGGAAGATCGAGAGTAGGTATCAATGATCCCAGTCGCAAGTTCTCGCGTGGTCGATGCGATATAAGTAGGTGCCACTTACTTCGGTGCCTGTTCAACAGCTTACCTGCAATCACTCAGCCATTCCCCCAGCGCAAGCTCTTAGCTCTTCCGTCGATACATCAATGATAATTTAGCATAATATACCGTAAATGCGGGTGAGCACCGGGGCCTGGGCCGTAGCTTCTACATGATTTGCTGTACGATGGGCATCAACTTTGAATGGACTAAATTTAGATTGAAATCCACGAATGAGAAGGATAAGCAAAGAGCTTTGTTGGCTTGGCTGCAATTTGAGGCTGATTTTGATAATTGAGCTGCCTGGGATGGTCAGCCCTAAGACGAGGTAGACCCCTTGAAACAAGCCGTGATGTTCGGACACGGACTCGGACACGGACAAGGACAAGGACAAGGACATGGACACGGACACGGATTCGGAATATGACCCCAACAAGAATACAGCCCTATCAACAAAACAACGCGTCACTTATCTGAGGCGCAGCATCAGCTTCTGAGCTTACAGGAGAGGAAAAACTTTGCTTATCCCACCGATCAAACCATTATGGTAAGAGAGAAATTAGATGCCCATTCAGCTGTCAAACGGAATGCTGATCGATTGTGCCCCTCAATCTGAGCAAACACTCAATGGTAGGGCAAAGGTGATTGAATGGGAGATACCAAGCGCCAAGAACATATACATACTTGCGTACGGCACTGTGTTCTACTTATGTTGACTGACGCTCTTTTGGGAGTGGTCTTTGATCTGCTTGAGGGTTCTTTGAGTTGAACAAGTGTGTAGCCAAGACAATCACGATCCAGCGCGTCAACTGAGCCACACCGAGATAACCAAGAAGGTATAAGTTAGCCATGTTTGAGAATCAGGCGTCAAGATAAAGTAGGCACAACTGTACGAAAGGTCAAGTCCTCGCTTGGCTAACCTGAAGACTAGAGACCCGCCCAGCATGGTCTGAAGGGCCTCTAGCACATTGACAAAATCCGGGCAGAATTATACCTAGATTAAGAGTCGTTTGCGAGATATTCAGAACGAGCAGCGCAATCATCAAGAATAATGACTGAAGACACTTTCTAGGCCCGTTGCTCGAATGCTCTGCCTGAATGACCAAGGCATTGCCATACGGGCTGAGTAACTACCTTACTGCTATCACGGAATAGCGAATTGGTCAAGACACCAAGATTGCGGAAGAATCTATAATATTAAGAGGGATCTCTTATAAAATCAATAACTCACTCACTCTTGAACAAAGTGTCATGAAAAAAAAAAAAATACTTGCCTCTTTCACAGCAAGCAGCAGTACTATATGGTTGCCTGAGGCGGCAACTTCCCCAGTTCCACTTTTGACAACAGCAAATCTCACTCATCAACACTCAACTCTTCCGTCCTCTTTCAAACTAGAGCATTCGACAATACCATCAGATAGATCAGATCTATATGTCGGACACATCAATGACTCCCGATACAAGTTCGGATGCAGCCACTGCGCCGATCCCCATGGTAAAAACTTGCCAGAACTGTGCTCGTGGCAAGATACGGTGTATTCGATCCACAGATAGCGGGAGTTGTCAACGGTGAGCCTAGCATAAAAATTAATGCGTCGTTAATGTGATGGCTGAAAGCAATAGATGTCACCGTTTAGGAAAAGAATGTGTGTTTCGTCAGGCACGCTCCAAGTCTAGTGGAAATCGGCGCGATAAGTCAAGACCCTGATGAATGTCCTGCTGCCAGAATCGTGTGCTGACTGTTGGGGCGCTGCTCAGGAGAATCGACATTCTCGAAGAGAAGGTTGACCGGCTCCTAGCTAGTTCAGAGGCAGCTACAATCGAAAGACGGATAGATCAGGTAAGTACGATGTTGACCTACTCCTGAAATGACAGTGCGCTTAACGCAGCAAAGAACCAAACATATTCACGCACGTCGCGCAGCAAGGCATCTGAGAACCAGCGTGCAAATGAGGATATCATTGACAAAGGCATCCTGTCTATGGAGGCAGCAAATGATCTAATCAATGCATATAAAGTAACAATGATGCCCAATTTGCCGTTCGTTATCATTCCTTCAGATTTAAGCACCGAGCATATACGTCGAACGAGACCAGTAGTATTCCTTACAGTCCTGACAGCAGCCTTGTACAATAACATACTTTTACAGCGTGTGCTCGAAGAGGAAGTGAAAACCGTGATTAGCGACAGCATGATATTCAGAGGAGAGATCTCCTTCGATTTACTTCAGGGTCTTCTGATACACATTGCATGGTGTGTATATGTTTGAGCTTGATAGGCAGTACACTAACGGGAGCAGGAGCCAATATCATTCGCGTCCTCGCCGGTTCTCTCAGTATCTACAGTTGGCAATCAGCATCATTGTCGACCGTCGACTGGACAGAGCTCCTGGTATGCGGTTGTGGAAAATGAGAGTTGGCGTAGATGATAACAAGGCGAACTCCCTGTCCTGGGGCCGGGATGAGCAGAGAGCCGTTATTGGCTGCTATTACTTTTCGGCAAGGTATTTCACTTTGACTATATATGATGCATGACACTGACCCAGTGAAAGCATATCGCGAATCCTTCAAAAGCTATCAACCTTTCCACACACGCCATACATTGAGGATTGCTGTCAATCGCTTGCTGCAAGCCCAGACTGTCCGTCGGACTCACAATTGTTACATATCGTACATCTTCAACAACTTTTGGACAGGATTGATCACCTGTCGCCCCAGACTGCACCAGAACTGCATCGTACAGATGCGGGCATCGAACCACATTTCCGCATGCTGAAGGCCGAGCTGGATCAGTTCAGAGTCCATTCTCTAACTTCCTTTGCGCATAACCGTATATTCACTGCTCCAATGCATCGTTTTAGTATTCTGGCTGACGAAAGCAGAGTTTCTCGTCATGCAGTTCCACACAGCAGAGCTATACCTTACCCAAATCAGCCTCTTTGACCGGAAAACACCGCATGACTCGGTGTTCTGGTCGTCGCTCCGCATCGAAGCACTATCAATGGGACTTGTGGCAGCAAGGCAGCTCCTTCAATTCTATCTCGCGCTCCCGTTGCGTTCTGAGACTGTCTTCAATAATACGCAGTGCGTGCAAGTAGGATTTTGCTTGACCCTAGCTGTAAAGCTCTCTGTCGCCGCGTTAGATTCTTCGATTGATCACCAAGTAGGAAAACTTAGAGACTCACTAAATATGTCTCTGATATTCAAGCAAGTTATCCTACGCATCCAAGCCTTGGTCACGCCCCTGGTGGACGCGCGAGGCGAAAGAGATGCATTCTATCACTTTGAGAATCGCCTTAAGCACTTACAATGGTGGTATGAAACTCAGATGACGCAGATTCCCGTGCAGCGCCAACATTATGCTTCTCCAAAAACAATGGCGCATAACACCCTTTCCACCGCGGAACTATCTTCAGCTTCGACAGAGGATTTGCAAGCCCAGTGGCCTAGTCTGTTGCCGGATGCAACAATTGATGATCTGTTCAACGAGTGGAATCCCGACGCAGGTATTTATTTTGGCTTTGAGTAAGACCCGGATGCCATGACATGAAACCCTCCTTCTATTGGTGATATCGAAGGAAAGATCCACCAGGGCCTCCAAACCATACCTAGGAGAGAAATTTGACATTGGAGCTTTTGCTTCCCGTTGGAGGAGATGGCTCGCGTTCAAGCACGGAGCAGGTGGTGGGCCTTCAGGGTACCATAACTGAGCATCGCACAAAGACCTTTTGATGTTGGGACCTGGTCGTGATGATGTTTCCTCCTCGCTACAGCAATACTGACCATTCTAAATCCGGGTTTGGACATCAGAAGCCGCTCATATAAGTGAGAAACATACCTGGTAACTTAGTCAAAACAGCACTCTATAGCAGAAGTGCGCACGGCATGGTGCAATCAACGTGTGTTGCAACATCTATTGGCGGAGCCTAAACATTTGCATTGACTTTTTGAGAATCTGTGACCTGAAGCCCATGAATAACGCCTTTACCCTCTAGGCTAAGAGATGACACCTGGTGCACGGGAAAGCAAACACTGATGGTCTGGAGGGTCATTATAATGACTGTCTTCGTTGCGGGGGATAAATAGATCCTGATCATTATGTTCACAATAGCCCCTGCATGTTACATGCGACCCATCAAGAGTTTGATAAACTGGGCCTTGTCAGTGGCAGCTCTTACTTGATAATGTTACATACTCACCAACACGGAACACATTTTGCCATGTCTCCTTCTGAACACAACTTTCGCGGGTGCTCAGACCACATAGAATACAACAGTCAATGATAGGCTGGGCAGCTTATCCATTTACATAGCGTAGTCTATATTCATAGAGGCCACTGAAGAGGAGGCCCCTGGCGAACTTGTCGAGTAGGCTTTTGACCTTGCCTTCCACCCAGCATGTAACACCGACTCTTTCGAGATCTGGGATTGAAGATGGTTTCCATAAGCTTGCAGCCAAAGGTAGTTCAGCACCGGTCCTGTTCCTGCGTCATATTGACTCCTATATCCTCTTTCATCTTGATGAACAAGAGGGTCATTGACCACCAAACCACGGAAGGGCGGTAATTTGAGCAAAATTTACTCAACAAGTTCTACGGAATCTTTATTGATCTGACTGGCAAATTATTTCACCGACGTCGGACATACCGTGGACTGACTAGAACAAAAAGCCGACAGCGACCCAGAGTGCGTCATGTAATTAACTATAGGTACTCGCCCCTATGAACATTGCTGGCTGAGCTTAGAACTACCGCATCTTTGCAAATCCAACTAGTCCATCTTTTTCACATCTTACCCTACTCCATGTAACAACCTTGTGGGAAAAGAATCGAAAATCCCGAGCGTGAAGCACAAGCCTCACTATATACTAGCAAAGGTTGGTAAGGATTATAGGGACTGGGGAATGTGATAATGTGCTGGGTCGTAATATGTCAAATTATGTCTTTTCAATTAGAAGTCATTTATTCCTAAACTGTAAGTGGGTCCTGGTGCCTATTGCTTCAGGAAAGCTCGCTCCGTCTAATAGCAAGTCAGAGCAGATTGCTCAATTTTTATGTCGATAGTAGCATAAAACCTTCCCTTCTACCTCACTTGACATTCTCTTTAGCTGACAGTGCCCGCTGGCTCTGGGCCCAATCTGTATCTCACCTCTTAGCACCGTTCCCACAAGCAACCCAAGCTGTGCAGTGGAGCATCATAATCTCGATAGCTAGTATAGAATCCCGTCAGCATGGAGTTGGGTTCGCCGGGGAAGAGCTTTTGCATTTTTGCAAGGTCGAGGTTCTCGCGTAGTATAGCAAACTTTCGACCACGATTTGTGCATATCTATTTCCGAATGTCAGCTTTAGCCAGGACTCCTAGAGCTCGTTTGTGACACACCGTCAGGGATGGCGCCTGATAGGGAATTCGTGCAAAGTCCCCATAGACGGATGTTATGTGCTCTCCTCCAGCACCATCAATGGCGAAGTCCGGCCACTGCTTGTCCTCACAACGACCGAGTTTCCTGGAGGTGATGGGGATGTTGTCGGTGGAGAAATGGAATTCGATCCCTCCAAATGCGCCATGAACTTCTTTCGATCTCGTGATGGATATCCCTGTCAAATACTGAAGGTACGACCCTCCTGGGCCACCGAACCAGACCCAGAAGAGGAGATTGTGACGAGATCTCGCGGGTGGGAGGCCCACCGAAAGCCCGTCTTTCATGTGTAGATTGTCCGGCGGGAGACCCGGATACCATAAGGCAGTATCGAGAAGAGACAGCTTCCTTTTACCTTTTCGCCGGATTGGCCGCCCTAGTGCCAGAGAGACGAGTTTGAAGCCCTAGTCTGCCATTAGCACAGGTGGTTAATTGGATACAAGGCTAGAGGGCTGTCCTGACATCGAAAGAAGCGGCGATTGCGACAATCCCCCCGTCTAACTTCAACCTACGCGTTTGAGGGCATCTTTCGTTCGAACCGAACCATTTTGAGACGGGGGATCCTTCGTCGATTATCTGCAACCCGTGAATTCGACTCGTCCCCACTGCGACAACGAAGCCCCCAAAGGCTACTATATCGGCTGAAGAATTGTCCCGAGATCTGTACCCGAGTTGTGTGCTGGTCCCATCGTCAAAGGAAAGCCCCAAGCCTGTGATGTACTCTGTGCCTTCAATCTCAATACGCGAGACAGTTATTCGACGCAAATGACTAGAGAGAATCACACGCTGTGTGTACAAGCTTCGATAGCCCTCGATCAATCTATCGGTGTAATCATTAGCCTTGATAGCCCAAGCGAGTACCACCCAATCCAGGCCGACAGGGTCGTTGGGGTTGTGAACGATAGTTGTTGTGTCAGGGTCAGACAAGTCCAGGATGCTTTTCAGGCACCGTGCCAGTTCCCAGATCCTGGCTCTATTGCGTAAGGAAGCGGCACGCTGAATGTATATAGCGCGATACAGCCATCTTGAGTTAAAGGACTTGCCGGGTTCCAGTTCGCGCACCTCAAATACGAAATCACACTCCTCTGACTTGATCTTTAAGGTCCAAAAGTGTGAGCTTTGTATGATGCTCCTCAAACGCCTTGACATGAATTGTAATTGCAGGCAGTCGTGCACTTTCAGGTAAGCGAATATCTCAAACCAAATATCCAACGGCAGCCGATCAAGACAGCAAACACTCTCCGAGCCGGATTCCACTCTCGCGATCTCATACGGTTTTGACGCCAAGCGATTCCCGATCCTTATGGATTGCATAGATCCCTGCACTGCTCTTCTGCAGGACCAATTGCCATCTCCAAAGGGATCTTGTCCTATCGACCGCCAAGTCTCATGTCTCCGAGTTGCACTGTAATGAAGCTCATCTATGCCGGATATCTTAAGAATCCCTCCATACGAATGGCCCCAATTAATCACATTCCAGGACAGGTGACACAGTGAGTTGCATACATCCACTAGCCGAGCCAGTGGTACAGTTCTTTGGCCATGAATACGTCTCAGAAGTGACCAGCATGCTTCGTGCAACAGGAATGCCGGCGTCAAAGGGAACTGGGTGAAACCCGAATCGAGGTTAATTTCCATGTTTCCAGGCTTTGGTTTATCATCCCAACGACTGTTCTCGGCACGATGGACATACAGCGTGGAATACTCTCTCGCACGATATGCCAAGCCAGAGATTCGTGCGCCGTCTCCAGACTTATAAACTGGCCCTTTGTCAGCGGTATCCCAGCGCCCATCGGACAGATACCTCACTCACCAACTGGGCACATGCTTTGCCATTTCCCCTTGCCTGTACAACCTCCGTTGATTCGGCCACCGCAAAGAATACAGTGAGGGGATACATGCTTGCGATCCATCCTTTGTACCTTCCCTTATCTTTGGAGCAAGACATATAACACATCAGACGGCTGTAGAACAAGTTCTTTTGCCGTATGAGGCAGGATCAAACCATCTAACTCGCATTTTTGAAAACCCTTTCGACGAAGATGGGGCAGGACTGTACTGCGTCATTTTGACAGCTATATCGCTTCACTGCACAGGAACTATGGTACATCATCACCATACCATGGTATATGCATCCACTCAACGAGTTTGACTCATTAAAAAGGCACGCACCTAAATAAAAAATGCTTGAGCATAGTGCAGCATAAAGATAAGCGGATGGAGTGAGTATATATGTGAAGGGTCAACGTCCGAGTCCCTTTCCTACGGGTCATTCAATTCAATGACAGCATCGGCGACTACTTTTTTAGCCCGAGTATAGCTTCAAATTCTGCTCAAACTGATTGCTTGAAATAAACTTTTCATCTGTCACCTATACAATACAATTATCAGAGTCAATAGATGAAAAGCTAAGCCAATGGAATCTTGTCTTTCCTTGGTTTATCAAAAGCAATTATGGTTAAAGTGACCCTTGCCAATAGTTTTGTCGATCAATATGATACAGCTGGAATGTTACACAGCTTACCACTCTCAGGCATGTGACAACTGAAGCAACTCCCATCAGCATAAAAGAGCATAACATCCCCATCTCCCCTTCGTACTATGGGATTTCAATCATGTTCTGTGAGCCATGTATTTCTCAATCAGAACTACACAGTCTCTCCTAGCCAACCTTTGGCTGGGGTGTGCTATTGCGCTGCCCGGCTCCAGCCCCGGTCTTGATGGATCACAAATTGAAGACGCCAGTACGATCGTACGCGATGTTGCTGTGATCGGAGGCGGAGCTTCCGGCACCTACGCTGCCATCCAGCTCCGTCAGATGGGCCACAGCGTCGTGGTAGTCGAAAAGGAACCTCTCCTAGGCGGCGCCACAAATACCTACTATGATCCAGTCAGCGGCAAGTATATTGACTACGGCGTGCTGATCTGGCAGGATATCCCCGAGGCAAGAGACTTCCTCGCCCACTTCAATATCTCCACGACCATCGAGCAATTCTCAAACTCCGATAGTGCCCGCGTTGATCTGCGCACGGGGGAAAACGTGCCACCGCCGCAGGGCAATGTGACCGAGGCGATGTTGCGGTATGTGGACCAGCTGCTCAAGTATCCCTATCTCTCGGATGGATGGGATCTCCCAGACTCCGTGCCGGAGGACCTACTGCTCCCATTCGGGGATTTTGTGGAGAAATATGATCTTGCACCGGCGGTGGAGACCCTGACGCTGTATGCTCAGGGTCTCAAAGACTGGCTGCCGTATCCGACCGTGTACATCATGAAGTATTTCAGTCTGGGGGTGGCGTTGGGCGCGCAGAATGGGTTTCTGGGCACGGCGGACCACAACAATGGGGCTTTGTATGAGGCTGCGCGGGAGGAACTGGGCGAGGATGCATTGATCGGCAGTACTGTGGCTGGGATGGACCGTCCAGCAAACCGTACGCATCGGATCCTGGTTCGAACCCCAAATGGCTACCGACTCATCAGAGCGAAGAGGACCATCATCGCTGCTCCGCCGAAGCTGGAAAATCTGCAGAATTTCGACCTGGATGATACAGAGAGTGATGTATTTGGCCAGTTCGAAAGCAGCTTCTACTACACCACCGTGACCAAGCTCCCTGGCCTCCCAGCGGGACTTGGATTCCTCAACCGTGGCGCAGACACGCTGTACAATCTCCCTCCCCTGCCGGGAGTGTACACCATCACACCGACCCTCGTCCCGGAGATGTACACAGTTTTCTACGGCGGCGGGGAGAAAAAGACTGAGGACGAAGTGAAGGAGAGCATCAAAGACAGCGTGCTGAAATTAAGTGAAGCGGGCTTCAATACCTCCGAGCCTGAGATCCTGGCCTTCAGTAATCACAGTCCATTCGAGTTGTTCGTTTCGTCGGACAAGATTGCCAGTGGCTTTTACAGGAATTTGTATGCGTTGCAGGGACATCGGAACACGTACTATGCCGGCGCTGCGTTCCATGCGCAGGACTCTGCTGCCCTATGGAGGTTTGTGGGGAATCTGTTGAAGACTATTTTTGATTGAATGTTCCCGGGAGACTCAGATTCGTAGGCAGGAATGCAGCTAATTGTCTCCAAGGTCTGTATCTGGGTATCATAAGGGACGATAGCTTCTGGTGTGCGCGTAGAACATATCAGATAGTTGCTGAGGATCCTGCTCCTGAAGGCAGCGTCTTAGTCTTAGTAGCTGAAACTGCCACAAAAATCTCAGTATCTAGACAATAATGGTGAGGGTGACCATACCAGAGGGATGAATTGGAATGGCCAGTTCGAGGA